GCCTCCAAAGAGGTGAGGGACAACAGGAGCCACCACCGTACCAGAGAGAGCCAATCAGGAGTGTGGAAGAGGTGGCTAAGGAGGGTCATCAAACCCCAGCAGCATCTGAAACACTTTCCCCTGGAATAATCAGGAGAGGTCGACTGAGCAGGGCCCACGCGGCAGGGGGCTGGCAGGGTCCCTCGCTTTCCCTGGCTCCTTCGCCCACCTAAACTGCAAAGAAGCAAGAGGTGCAGCCCTTGGGCCTTCAACACAGCCACAGCGAGGCTACAAATGTGGCGAGATCCGGACCCGGGTGTGCAGTAAATCCTACACTTCCCCGCCCCCTTCCTCCCTCGCAGATTTTAATTAAGGGTTTCCTTGCAGAAGAGCGAGCTCTATTTAACTAAATCCTTGGCCCCCTTTTATATTGTCTTCTCTATCGTTCTAGGCCAGGGTGCCAGGAAAAGTTAATTATAACACTTCTAAACACTCCATTAAGGGACGCCCACCCCCCACCCCGTCTTCCTCCTTGGCCTGAGGCCCTGTGACTGAAACAGCCAGTTCACTGTGCCCTTCTGAGACCTCACACTGCTGCTTTTCTTCCGTGCCCGAGGCTAAGCTGCCTTGGGTGAGCTAGCCTGATCTCCATCCCCAGCCCTTTCAGAGGCTCACGGGAGCCCACGGGATGAGCAGGAGCCAGGCGGGCTGGCTCATCCAGCACGACACGCGTTCAGCGGCGAACAAGGCCAGCGGGCCACGAGGATGGGCATCTGGGCCCAGATAGGCAGGCACCAGCCACCAGTGACGCGACAAGATGGAGTTCATGCCATGATGCACGGGGGTGGGGCAGAGCTAAGGAAGGTGGAAAGGAGCCTGAAGGCCTAGTGATGCCTATATGTGTGTTGGGGGGTGGGGGGTTCTGGAGGCCTAGTGACACCTGGCGGGGGGGGTCTGGAGGAGCCTGAACTGTCTACTGGCCCTGGAGAAAGTAGAGATCCCTAGAGGTAGCATGGGAGTAGAGGCTAGTGCACTTTCTGTGGCTGAGGTGGTTGGGAGGGAAGGAACAAAGGGCTGCCCCTTCACAGATCAGGACAGGGCCCCAGAGAAGTGATGGAGAAGCAAAGAGGAAGGAGGCTCAGGGGCCAAGAGGAAGAACTGTGCAGAGGTGCCATTCGGGTGCCAGGTGCACAGAGCAGAGACTAGGGGGAGGGATGGGGAGGAATGAGCTGCCCGTGGCCCTAGGGCGTGCAGGCACTGATACCTGCAGCTGGAAATAGGAACAAAGGCGACATAGACCGTGTATCCCCAGCCAGGGGTCAGGAGACAGCACTGGGCAGTCCAGCATCGAGCGGACGTCCTCCCAACAGGACTGTCACCGATCTGGTGGCAGTCGCCGAATCTGGCCTGGTGTCCTCAGCCCTGAACCAACCAGCCTTGGGAATGGGGGTGGGGGGGGAGGCAGAAGAAGGCAGTTCCTCAGCTCCATTCAGCAAGTTTTACTCAGAAAAGTTGAAGGACCTGCCCTCAGCCGTTTCTTCCTGTGACAGTCACGGGAGAAACAGGGGTGCTGCAGCCCCCACCTTCACTCCTCCAAGGACCTTAGACAGACACCTGGAATGACAGGAACACAGGCATCCCTGCCTGCTGGCAGCAGTTCAGAGGCAGCATGGGGTGGGCTGCTCAGCCGTGCTCAGGTCTCACCGCCTCACTGAAAGTCGGAGCTTTTAATCTCCCTTCTGCCGGGAACTGGCCTGGAAGGAAACTTCACATCTGTTCCTGAGACCAGTAGGTAGGGAAGGCGTTGCCTGAGTTCAGCTCAGGACCTGGGAGGTGGCACGGCCTGCGGGCCGAGAAAGGCTCATGGGTACACTGGGATAGCTGAATAGCCAGGTGGGATTCTCAAGCATGCTGCCCATCCCTCCTGGACGACGTACAGCACCAGCCACCCAGGAGGACAGGTCTCGGAGCCATGAGCTCTGTTCTAGATGCTACAGAATAGCACACGCCTCCCTTAAGGAGCTAGAAGAACACAAGGCCATGACGAAGGAAATGATTCTGATCCAGACATCCATTCTGGAACCTTCCAAGTATCTGCCCATGATGCCACCACTCTGACTCTGCTATCCAGATCTGCCTTTGGGATGCCACAGAGTCCCTGCCCCCATTAAGCCCCAAAGCCCCTGTCACCCTTAGAATCAGCGCCGATTCCTAACCAGCCCCTCTTTACACTGCTCTCATTTGGTTTTCTGTCCCACTGCAAGGCCTACGGCAGTCATGCCCCTCACCCCACAGTCTTCCCCAGCTCTGTAAGCTCTACCCTAAGTACACCCTCAGGCCTGGCCCAAGGTTGCCCATCTCAGGGTGTCCCAGAATCACCCAGTCAAAGGCCTGCACTATCACACCCTCGGGTCCCCAGGTCAATCCTCGGCAGATTTCTGCTTCTCTCTATTGACCAGGCCACCATCTCCCCGACAGACTAAGCAGGGCCTCGGAGTCTTACTCCCCACTGTCCCCAGCCCCTGATGCATGCTGACTCCTATGGACTCTCCCAAAGTGTATCAAAAGAGCATTTTCTTCCCATCTGTTCTGTCTGTGGAGACAACTGACAGCGGCGATTGCATGTCAACACTCAGGAGCAGAGAGGTTAACGTGCATTTACAGCCAGCCCTGTCGGCTCCCCTCGTCACAAGCTTCTCTGCTCCACTCCTTTCTTGAGGAAGCCCTGGTATGGCTAATACCAGTTCACAGAAGCAACCGTGACGTGCACTCCACACTACAGTACACAAAGCTTAACGGTTTCTCCCACACCAGGCTCTGGTCTGGCTTTGGAGGAGATAAGGTAGTCCTGCCTGGTCACCATGCAAAATGGGGTAACTGAGGTCCGGAAAAGACCTCCAGCTGCCACTGTCACCCACTCAGGAAGCAGGCCCAGGGTGTCAGACCCGGACACCCACTCTATTAGTTCTTGGGTGGAGCAAGGGATGCAACAAAGAGCCCCCCAGCAGAGTCCTACTGCCTGAGTGTGAACCCCAGCTCTGCCACGTACTAGCTGTGTGACCTTGGGCAAGTTGCTTTGCTTCTCTGGGCCCTGATTTTCTACTCTGTGAAATGGAGCTAGCAATAGCTGCTCCCTCATGTCATCAGGGCTGAAGGTGGTGATTCTACACAGGAGGATACATAGTAGACCCTCAGGAAGTGCATGCTGTATCCACATGCACTATACACACACACACACACACACACACACACACACACACACACACACGACTATTTCCCAGCCAGAATCTCCAAGCCCTTAGGAGTCTGTCTTCTCCCAAAAGGAGCAGTACTCTAGCAACCAATAACATTCCCACCAAGTGGCTGGTTCCTGGCCCTGGAACAAGAACAGAGGTCAGCTTCCAGCTCTCCAGCCTGGAGCTCATCCTACACAGTGACACCCCAGGCCTCTCCAAATGCTTCAAGGCACCCAAGAAGAGAGGACTGTGGGGGGAAGTCTTTGGGGTCCCATGCTTTGACCCAAACCATCTGACCACACCCTGTGCTGACTTTCAACTCCTCTGTCAAGGCCCAAGCATCCAAGTCAAGTCCCTCTTGAAGACTTCCCTGCCCTGGAGAAAGCCACAGCCCACTCCCATGGTCCCTTGGCAATCCAGGTCAACAGGTCACTCATTTGAGCCATACTACAGGGTCCATGATGTCTCATCTGTTAAAAGCGAGTGCTCAAAGAAACATCTCACCAAAACTACAGCCACAACTTCACCAAGGCAGAGAATAAAAAAGAACCTGCCATGCCAGCCTGGCACACAGTAGGTATCTGGCCTGTGGGGACCCTGACCCAGCCAGAGGAAAGCTCTAAAGAGCTACCCTGGGCATAGAGAACCCTGAAGGAGGCAGCCCAGAGCACAGCCAGGGAGGCACCTGGCTACCATGGGCTTTGGTTACACAGGGTACTCCCCTACCCTAGCTTTCCCATGTTCTAGCCCAAATGAGCCTGAATTAAAATTCCCCATTTGAAAAATCAATATTTAAAGAGCCAAGCCTGCCAAGTGGAAGAAAAGCTCTGCTAGTAAATATTTGTCTCCACGGGCAGAGTCAGGCCTCTCACTACGGCTACCGGCCTCGTGCCTGGCCCCTGCTCCACAGATCCCAGGCAGCTGCGCAGGGCACACCCAGGGACAGCAAAGGACTGGACAGTCTGGGGAGCTTCCTACGGAAGGGGCCGACACACCTACTTCTCTCCAGGACAGCAGGCCTGTGCACCAGGCTGCACGGGAGCCATCCATCTGTCCAACCCTCCCCAAGAGGAGAAAGAGCCACACCTCACTGACTTTTCTACAGAATCCAGAACATGCAAATTCCCTACCCTAGGTTCTGGGGGAGGGGCGTGCTAGGAGGAGAAACATGCTAGGGGAGGAGCCTGCTAGGGGAGGAGCCTGCTAGGGGAGGAGCATGTTAGGGAGAGGAGCGTGCTAGAGGGAGAAGCTTGCTGGGGGAGGAGCATGTTAGTTTGTAGCTTTATTTTGGGAAAAGAAAAGCACTGGGACAAAGCCCTACCCTTGACTTGTGCTCAGTTTCTTCCACCAACACCAGCTGATGCCCACAGGATGGACTACCTCAGGTCCCTGTGACATGGGGCCACAGAGCAGACAGGGTCTCCTTACTGGAGACTGAGCCACAAGCAAACGAGTAAAGACCCTGCCCTGGCATCACTGTTCCCAAAAAGTCATCCTTCACGCACCAACTCAGCCATTCATTCATTCATCTACCAGTTGCGCTGTGAGCACCTGTGCCAGGCACTCAAGGCTGAACACATGGGTGGATCACACACAGTGAGTCAAGTCCCTTTAGGAAGGCCTCCAATACCAAAGACTTCGACAAACAAGTGGGATGTCACAGCCCAGGATAGCATGGGAGGGAAGTACAAGACCCAATCTGAGAGGCCAGGGAAGCCTCCAAGGTGGTGGACAGGCACAGGGGCAGGTTTAGGAGGAGCAGGGCAAGGCAGGGATGACAAGCTACTAGGAGGGGGCAGTTCCAGGAGCCATGTCCTCCCAAGCACCAGGTGTGCTCTGTGTGCAGGACCTACCCAGCCATTCATTGAACTTCTTCACCTCGCTCGGGAGCCCTAGCTCCGTGAAGTCCCCGGCGTGGATCAGCACATCACCATAGGGCATCTGGATGGGGTCTGTCCTTGAGTGGGTGTCAGAAACACAGACGAAGCGTGTGTAGCCAGGTGGCTTTGGGGCGTCATGAGGCACTGGGTCCACCCTGAAGGGAGAGAAGATGCTGTGGGTTATGGAGGTCACAGAACTGTGATCCTGTGGGGTAGTGGGTCCCCAAAATACAGCCACTCCATGCTCCCCGTCAAAGCAACTCAGAGAGTATCCAACTGGACATGAGCCGAGTGTAGCCTTCTGGTGGGTCCAGCAAAATGTTCTTGTCTCCTGTGCCTCAGTTTCTATTCTGTCCCATGGTGTAAGGGTTAATCTTCACTGTCAACTTGATGGGATCGTGGATCACCAAGGAAACACAGGACTGGGAGTTTGTGAAACCCTTCCCTAAAGGCTTCATCTTGAATGTAGGGAGCGCCATTGGAGTCCTGCTAGTTGAACGCCAGCAGTCATCTGACTCTGCTACCTGATTCTAGATAGACAGGGACCAGCGCCATCATGTTCCTACCATCATGCCTTTCAAGCCATGGCAGACTGTGCCCTCTCCAACTCTGAGCCAAAATAAACCTTTCTTACGCTGCTTGGTCTGCTTTCATGTGTTTGTCTGATCATAGCAACGGGAAAACCTCAGAGAACCTCTGAGTGCCCGAGCGCCATGCCCACATGCAGCGACAATTACAGCCCAGCTGTTCTGGACAGTTCCCGGCTTTGCCATCACTGCTGGGCCCGTGGAGTTTTAACATCACAGAATCACTGTCTCCCGTGCTAACCGCCTATGGTTTTCTTTTTCAACCTCTCAAAACCAGCTTTCACCCCTGGGGGGCACTATTGCCCCGCTGACGCCGAGTGGCCTGAAATCCTAGTCCATTCAAAAGAACTAACTGGTCCTGAGCTCAGCATTCAGCGCCAGAAGAATGCAGGATGCGGAAGCCACATTGCCCAGGAAAACAGCAGGTGAGGCTCTTCCCCTTCCCCCTCCCTCTCTCCTCCTCTCCCCGCCCTGAAAGAAAGGTGAGCCTTCTCCCAGGACTAATACAGTGTGGTCATTTTGATACCAAGAGCCTTCTGGGATTGTGTAAAACACCCCTGCAGTCAAAAACCAGGTCCCTGAGCCCAGCTCTGCCACTGCCATTTAGACACAAGCAGAACCCATGGCCTGGGTTTGCACCTTCCTGGACAAGAACACTCCAGAAACTAAAAGAATATAGCTAAATAAGTTCCATCCCCTTTCCCAGGAGCCCTCGCAGCCAGCCGAGGGCCTGCCTTAGGCCCCCAGTCCAGGGTTCTTCGCAGAGCGTACTGCATCCCCAACTGAATGACTTCACCAGGCTCACAACGCTTAAAAACAACGCGATGACATTTCAACAAGCAGCCCTCTCCAAACGAGTACGCCGCTCGAGGAGTCGTGTTTAAATCTAATTATGCGTCAAGCCAAAAGCAGTACCGTATCAGTTACATAAATACTTTTAAAGACATCTTTCTAATTATCCTTTTTTTTTCAGACAATATACTTCGGAGAAATTTAATTAACACCTTATGAGAGACATGGGTTCAGCATGCTAATGTGTACAGCGCCTCCTCAAGCTGGATCTGCAGCAGGTGGAGGCACCATGCCAGCCTCCCCTCCATCTCTGAGGCACCACGGAGGGTAGTACCCTTGGTCCCCCTTTGGGGGCTGTTAAGCCAAGACAGAGCCTGGGTAGCTTGGAGATAGGCCAGCTAGAAAGATAGGTTTATTTGCCAAATGAGTCCAATGATGGGCAGCCAGGAAGGTGCTGGGCTCTTGTCTCCACTCGTTGTCCACCCATTCTGTGTTCAATTAGCACAAGTACTGAGTTCCTAATAGGTACCAACTTCTGAGGCCAGTGAGGGCAAGAGGGAGGAGTGAGCAAGGGCCCTGCCCACCAGGAGACCACAGCTTGCAGGCAGCACAGATTTGGCTAGACTGTGACTCTGCGCTCTTAGTTTAATAGGGCAATGGAAGGCTTAAAGATCAGAGAGGGCCCTAACCCATTCTGGGTTCCTGGAAGCTTCCAGAAGGAGGCAGTATGTGAACAGATCTGGAAGGCGAATCTCCCTGCAATTCTCACTTTTCCTATGTCCGCTGGGACTTTCAGCATCTCCTCTCCAAGACAGTCTAACAGGTTCGGGGTGTGCAGGTCCCCCATCTGTGCTCTCTGCCCATTCCGACAGTGCTGACTGGACCCCAGGCAGCCAGTCAGCACTGGACGACCTAGACCAGTGGACACCAAAACCCAGGCAAACCAAACACATCCATCTGTTCTCCCATCTCACCCAACACACACAAACATGCACATGTGCACACACACACACATGCATATACTTTATAGATGCCATAAAGTTACAAAGTCAAAGAAACCGAGAGAAAGGAAGAAGGGGGAGGCTGGGAGTGTGGTGGGATCCAACAGTCTCTCCTTAAGAGACGACCTGGCCACCAGGCAGCTGAGGGCTCTCACCAACGGGAGCGGTTGTGGGAGCCCGAGCTCTTTAATTAACTTTACCTTATTTCTCTGCACCCCGGGGCTTCTGAGAACTGTGAAGACAGAAGCCTAGAGATCCCCAGAGAGCAAGCGAGCTAAAGTCTCCTTTCCCCAGCTCAGTTCTGCGGCAAAGCTGCTTGCCCAACCTTGCACGAAAAGAGAACGAGCTCCATTCCCAGTGTTGGGAGCTCAGCATGAAACTCAGTGGCGACCTCACATTTTCTCTCCTCTCCTCCCTCCTGGTGACCCTTGGCAAAGTAGCCTGCCGGCATTCCCATTTTACAGGTGATAAAACTGAGGCTCGGGAAAAGGTGATTTCACCCATAGAAGCTGACTTCAGGGGGCTAGGGAGATCACTCAGTGGGTAAAATGCCTTCAGCTCTTTCCCCAAAAGCCACCCTGGACAGCAGCATGCCTGGTGTCAAACACCAACACAGGCCTCATAGGAGACGTAGTGTCCCTCAGTTGCCCCAAAGAAAAAAGGTGCTGTGAAGTCTGAGGTTCCTGTAACATGGACATCTGTGGGCCTGGGACATGTTGTCTGAAAATCCTGTAAAAGAGGAGACTGAAGCCCAAGTCGGACAGTGAACAGATTGTCCATTCAACACAACTGCCCCAGCCCTCTCTTTCTAGTGCTCTGCCCAAGAAGGGTGGGTTCCAAGGTGACCTGGCCACCCTGCCCGTGCACACCTTCAGCCTGTACTTCCTGCTGCCGCTCAGCCTTGGACTAGCCGGTCCTTCCAGCTGGGGTGACCCATTCTGCTTCCTTCAAAGGCTGCAGCACCTCGGTGCCCAGACCCTCCCACATCCCCAGGGCTCTTCCTGGCCTCACCCTCCCTCCCACCTCCTTCTTTCTTTCCATTTGCTGTATAAGGACCCAGACACGAGCGGAGGCGCAGGGGAACCTCCTGAAGGAAGGAACCCTTTCTGAAGTACCCCCTCAGAAAGAGCATCTACAGCTGGGACAGGGCCGGACATGTGTGACCAGTAGGAGTTGGAGAAGGCTTCGAGTGACCCATGAAGGACACAGAGCACACAGGGCTGAGAGCTAGAGAAGCCATGGGAACAACAGCCGTGCAAGGATCCGAGGCTGGGCTGAGGAGATAAACTCCATCAGGAAAGCACTGGCCTCAGAAGAAGAAGGACTATGGAGTTCAGTCCCTAGAAGTCAAATGAAAACTGAACAGAGATTCATGCCTGTAATCCCAGCACTGGGAAGGTGGAGACAGGAGGCTCCTGGTAAGGAGACGGTAAGATCCAGGTCAACAAAAGTAAGATGGACAGCTACTGAGGAGCCACACCTCTGGCCTTCACGGGTATACACAAACACACACACACACACACACACACACACACACACACACACACACGCCAGATGCACATACATATCACACACTCACACAGTATACACACACTACACTCTCACACACATATACCACACATACACTCACATACCGCATGCACACACACATACCCCCCCAACACACACACTAGGTCACCAGGTGCATACACTACATATTCACACAGCACACACAACACATATACACATGTGTGCACATGCACACATGTGCAAACACATGCACACGAGCACAGACATATACATACCACACACATACACACACCATGTGTGCACATACATGCATACACGTGCACACACCACACTCATGCGCACACATGTATTCACATGCACACACATGCAAACACACATAACACCTGGGGCAGGAAGAAGGCTAGAAGGTTTGGGAAACCAGAAGCAGCTGCTGTATCTGTTGCCCAGGAAGGCAGGACGTACCGAGTCCTCTCCTGCTCTGCCCCTGGCCCCTGTCCAGCTCCAGCCCGAGTCCGCGGCCTCTCAGCTAGTAGACGGATGAGCCCACTGCACAGGGCAAAGTGGGTGTCCTGGCTGTGCATGTCCCCCTTCCAAAGTCTTAGTTTCTGCCTCTGAAAGGCGGGGTCAGGTGTCAACCCAGTCAAGCGCTGGGGACCGGGGCCAGAAGGTTCCTCTCAGCCTAGCTCTCCTACTGCTGTCCCTAAAAACTCCAGCATCTAGCACCACTTGAGGGGCCCAGAAGTCTTTAAAGGTTCTGACCCATATCTCCAGTGACCCCAAAAAGGCAGAGGGAAGAGTTTTTGCTTAGCACCAAGTGTGTCCATCCCCGGATACCTTCACGGCAGGCTCCAGTAACCCTGTCCCTCCCTCTCACTGTCCACTGTTGCACCTCCATTCCCAGGGTCCTGATGCCTGGAGGGCTCTCCCAGAACCTCCTGGATTTCTCAGCCCCAGGGGCCACAGCTAGAGTTCCCAGTTGCAGACAGTCATCCCTCAGGCAAAGGCAGACAAGTTACCAGCAGGGTTTCAGGGCACCTGAGCAAATCACACAGCTCAGTGAGAGGCCACGTGGAACTGTCACTGCTATTATTAAATACAAACTGTGGATTTATTAAATAGGGCCTCCCCTTACTCCCTCACCCCAGAGACAAAGCCCATGGCAGTGATGAGACACCAAGCCGGAAGCAGCAGCCGCCCTGCACACCTCTCTTAGAAACAGAGTGGCCACGTGTGAAGGAATCCCCTACAGCCTGCAGGCCTCCTCCAGTTCCCCAGTGGCCACTCGGCCCCGTTGCTCATGGAAGCCAGGTTCTCACCGACTATTAGAGCAGGCCAAACAAGAGAGTTCCAGACCAGGAGGACACCAGATAGACAGACAGACAGACAGGAAAGCCGGCATGCTTTTTCTCCATGGTTTTTGCTGTTACAAGGGTCACACATTGTCTTGCTCTGATGACCTGCAGCTGCCCATCAACAGATGCCTGGAACACAAGCCCCATGAGAGCCGGTAGCTGCCTCTGATCACTCCAAGCATTAAGCTCCACGCCCAGGCCTGGCTCGTGCTACGATGACCACCAGTCAGTCACATGACTCCACTGCATGGGGACTTCTCTATTGTGCCCTCGGCATCACTGTAAACATCACTTTGCAGTTGGGGAAACTGAGGCATCAAACAGTGAGAGCCTTACCCAGGTAGACCAGTCCAAGACCCATGTTTCTAACCAACAAGCTGCCTAACTGTTCCCAAGGAACTTGAATGAATGAACAAAAGAAAGGAGAGAGAACGGAAAGACTGACCTCCACTGCTGCCTGGTGAAATGGGAACAGGCACCTTCTCTCCCTCATCGACTCACTGCCCTTCCCCAGGACACAGTCTGGTCTCAGGGCCTGTAGCCAACCTCTCCTTCAGGGGTCCCTCTACCCAGCAGGCACCTCTGAGATTCTCAGATACCCTCTCCAGCCCCCTGGGGGCTCTACCCTTACACTCCTTCTCCCTAGCCCAGGGAACCCTAATACCCCTTCCCAATCGTCCCCCAATCCCGAAGGTCTCTACTAAAATCTACCTCATCCAGAAGGACGTTCCCAAACACCCCAAACTGGATGGACCCTCCTCAGCTCTCCTCTCTTATCGTCTGTCTGCGTGGCTTTTTATTTTCCACAGGCTAAGGTCTCCACAGGTTGACCCAATCACATTCCCCAATAGCCCCAAAGGGCAACATCCCTGAGGTCAGGGCTCTCACAGATGAGTGTATCTACAAATGTACTCCCATCCGCACCAACTGCACTGCCTGAGGGCCTGGGGCTCTCCCACATTCTCACTGGACAGGACCAACTCTAGCATCAGGGACCTGAGTATCATCATCTCCAGTTCTAACAACAACAACAACAACAACAACAAATCTAAGCAGAGAAAGGCAGGCCTCTGTCCGCAGCATCCCCACCAGGCTGCTAGGTGCCCAAGTCCAAGAAGCACCATGCCCTCAATGGTGTACTCAGCTGCTTAAATCCTCCAGTCTGGCTCCCAAATCAAAAAGTAAATAAAAATAAATAACCAAAGAGGCAATACTCAGCTAGAAATCCATCAAAAATGACACCTTCTGACCACGTGGGTTGAAGCCTCTAGGAAGGAGCATTGTTCCTGCAAGTGCAGCTGGGAAAGAAGGCATTCCCACATTGGAACCCTCCGCTCCAGACCACATGACTGCCGCCGTCAATGCCTTTCTTCCAGGGAATTATCTCCCTCGAACACTGTTTAACAGAACGGGGATTGAAGGCAGCCACACAGAAAGGAAGGACTGCTTACCACTCCGCTACCCCATCCCTCTGCATGCTGGGATCTGAGCAACTCACCCATTCTACACTGATCCTGAGTGACAACTACTGGGACCTTGTGAACCCACACACTACTCAGAAGTAGGGCTCCAGCCCCTAGAGGAAGCTCAGTGTCTGCATCCCCAGGGATAACCTAATGTTCTTGAGAGGGCCTTCTAGCAACCCTGTGACACTGGTCACACTGGCCATAGCTGCTAGCTTCTTGTTCTGTCAGCAGGGAGCCATCAGTCTCTCCCCACTCTGTGTGGGATCAGGGTGACCTTGACCCAGAAGGCACCTGAGACGCTATGAATGTGTATGAAACAGAAAGGAGGTGTTCCCAGACCCCCTGACCTCCTCTGTAGAACACTTCAGGAGCATGGAATCAAACAAAAGGGAGAGGAGACAACTCATCCAGGATGGGGCCCTAACCTACTGCTGGTCCTACAGCCAGACCCTCTCCCTGTGTGTGACTCAGTCTCCCTGAAGGAGCAAGTCAGACTAGAGGTTGAAATTCAGCCCCTCGACATTTCCCCAGAAAGAACAAGTGAGACTGCGGGTTGTGAAATTTCTGGTTCCGTCGTCAAATCTTGACTCTCTCTGTACAATCAGCTCATTTTCAAACACTTCTGAAGAATTCATCAAGTCCAATAAAAGGGGTCTGAAGGGCCAGTGTGGATCCCCGGGACCACCTGTCTGGGGCTTCCCTCAGGTCCCTCCCAACTGTAACCCGAGTGTAGCACAGAGAGATTTGGTCCGCGAGGCCCCAGAGTATGTGTCCACGGATGAGCCAGAAGCCAGGAGGAAACCACAGCCCTGTACCCGCCCGGTTCCTGGGCATCGGCACTTACATCTGCACGTGAGGTGGCTGAAAGCGGCCCTGGTTGATGTTGTAGAAGGTGAAGGCCTGGGTGGGGTTGGAACTGTACTCGTCCACCTCAATAATGAGCCGGCCATGCTGGTGCCTCCGCGCCGCCATCACGTGTGACTGAGAGAACGCCATGCCCAGGCCGCAGGGGAGCAGGGCCAGGGCCTCGGCCTTCAGGATGCCAGCATCCCACCTAGAGCGCCACATGGACCTCCGTGGGCCACCCGGGCATCTCCCACCACCGCCACTGCCGCCGTCGCCGTCACCGTCACTGTCGCCTCCGCCGCTGTTGCCTGGTCCCCCGCCAGACCTGCAAACAGACTGGAGAGACAGAGCAGAACCATGCGACAGTTAATCTGTTTGGGATTTGTTTTATTTAATGTCAGATGAAGATTTAGAAAGAGGGAAAGGATGGGGGGAAGAGGGGGGAAAACACAGTCGCACACAGCTCAAAAACTCATTACAAATCTTTCCAACTCAGCAGTTTGATGAATATACTTTGGTAAAAAGGAAGAGAGAAGGGAGGGAGAAGACCATGAGGAGAAAAAAAAAGCCCACGATGCCATGGACGGATGCATGTGCAGTCCAACATGTTTAAATACTTCAGACATTTTTTTCCCTCCAACAAGATTCTTGGAATCTACACGGTAGCTGAGCTGGGGACAAGACAATGGCTGGTATTTTGTAAACAGGGAAGTTAAATTTCTATTTTTCCGATTTGGGGAACAGGAAGGATTCCTGACTAACTCCACCTCCTCCCCACATACCCCCCAAACACATCCGCAGAGCCACACCCACACCCCAGCAAGTCTAAGCAGGTAGAAAAGCACAGCGCAGGATGAAAATTCCTTCCTAAACATCAATTTAACCTCGGGACATCTTTCGGAGGCACCCAGAGAAGGGGGTTTCCAAGCAGTGGCCATACAGCCCCTCTGCTGAGGCAGCGTTGGTGGTCCCAGGAGAAAGCTGGATTGAGAGGGTCTCCCTCCCTATGCATCACCCTGGCCCCAGCAGGGTCCCGGGATCCAAGAACCCACCCAATCACACAGAGAAAATTCTGTAGTGTTTCTTATTTTTTTCTTCCAGTGGAAAGGTGCGGTTTGCCGATGAATTTAACTAGACTAAAACTCCCCTGCAGCAGGTTCTGAGTCAGCCGTGTGGAGCCTGGAGGCATAGGCCGGGCCAGTGAGACAGCATTTGTCTTGGTGACTTGTGCCTGCCTGGTCATTGACACCGTGATTCCCTCATCCCATTCTGAATAATGTTTTAATTGTGTGAGCAGGGACTTGAAGGGGTTTTTTTTGTTTTGTTTTTTGTGGTTTTTTTTTTTTGCCTTGTTTTTGGGTTGTGGTTTTTAAGATCCTCCAATGGCCCTGCTTATGCTGTATTTAACCAAGGAGAAAATCACGTAGTTTAAATGATTCCTGGACACTTGGATCCCAGTCACATTAAAGGAAGAAAAATCCCCCTTGTTTTGTGTTTGGAAGGGGAATCGACACACTCCAAAAACAAATTAGATTAGGAAAATGACAAAAATTAGAGACTGGAGAACATTTTAATTACGTGCAAGGAGAAACGGGTTATTAATTCTTAAAAAAAAATTCTCAATCATCCCCATACAAGGTAAAATAAAACAGCAATAATCTCTCCTCTCAAAACACGGAAAGAAAGGAACAGTCCTGCCAGGCAAGGTAGGTACAGCAGTAGTCTCAGGAGGCTGAGGCAGGAGGATAACTGTGAGTTTCAGACCTCATCTCACAAAGATTGGAGAACTAGATATGGTGAGATATGTCTGTAAGCCCAGTCCTTGAGAGGGAGAGGGGAACCGGGCGGGGGGGGGGGGTCAGGAGTTCAAGATCATTCAAGTTTGAGGCCAGCCTGGGCTATATAACACCCTGTGGCTCGGTGGTTAAGAGCACTGTCTGCTCTTCCAGAAGACCCGGGTTCAATTTCCAGCACCCACATGGCAGCTCATGACTGTCTATAACTCCAGTTCCAAGGGATCTGACATCCTCACACAAACATGCACGCAGGTAAAACACCAATGTGGTTTACCAGCCCAAACCTCCTGACCCAATCCTGCTCTCTCAGCCTGAGTCACTATCTTCCTGTCCAGGTGGGGACAACCACTCACTCTTCACCTCTAAGCTTGGACCAGAACCTTCCTGCTGGGGTCCTGTGAGAAACCTGGATATCTGATAAGAGCTGATAAGATTATGTGTCCCCATGACTTATTCCTGTATGCTACCAGCTGTGACCACGATCAAGCGCTCGACGCTCCCATGGGCAGTCTGGTCACCCACAACACGAAGAGAACAAGAGTCCCCAGCTCAGAGTTGTGAATAGTAAAAAAGATGACACCCAAGTAAACTGGTTGTCACATGGCCTGGGGGTACACAGCAAGTGCTCAATGAATGCATCAGTCTCTCCCAGGTGGCCCATCACAAAGCTTCACAGATGGTTGAAAAACATGGATGGATAGATGGATGGATGGAGGGAGGGATGGATGGATGGATGGATGGACTGACAGATGCATGCATATGGACAGTGTCTGGTCAGATTCCTTCCCTAGCACCCAGCACTGACCTGGCAAAGAATGGGTGTCTATAGAGCCCAGTCCAAGCCTGAGGAGTCACAGTCTTCTTCCAGTCCCATGCCATCAGCCCATCAGAGTGCTGGTCACACTGAGCCCAGCCTGGACCAAGGGGAATCAAGGGACACACACACACACACACACACACTGCCCCCCAACCCCCGGTAAGCAGGTGCCAGCAGCGGCACCTCAGTGAGAAAGCTGCCTGGCAGCAGGAGATTCAGAGGGAAGAGGCAGGCAGGGAATACCAGGGTACCAGCCCTGCCATGCCATGTTGCGCTTCACATAAAGAGGACTCACCACAGGTCCTGCCTAGAGAAACCAAGGAAACCGGGAACCCAGGGCCTCCTGAGCTTCCATTTCATGTGTATGGCTGTTGAAGCAGCCGCCAGCACACCCGCATGCAGTTCCGCAGTCCACTGAGGGAGAGGAGCTTCCAGGGAAAACGGCTTTCAGCAGGGAAATGCTCACACCTGGTCCCCAAATATGCACGGTTGAGTGACAAAGTTTTGAGTTGGTTCCCTGTCCCGTGGGGTGACCTTGAACCTACTCACAGGTCCTGGGAGAGGGGAGTCCTGCCAAGACTACTCCAGGGGTTGGGGGAGATACAGAGAGAAGTGGGGTAGAAGGAAGGAAGGAGGGAAGGAGGGAAGGGAGGATTGAAGAAAAGGAAGGAAGGAGGGAGGGAGGAAAGGAAGGAGAGAGGGAGGGAAGGAAAGATTGAAGAAAAGGAAGGAAGGAAAGAAGGAGGGAGAGAGGGAGGAAGGGGAGGAAGGAAAGAAGAAAGGAAGGAAGGAAGGGAAGAAGGAAGAAAGGAATCCATCTTGTTCAACAAATATATTTCAGTTCCCACTTTCTGTCCCTGTCCCTTGTGCAAAAAGAAAAATAAATAAATAATAAATAAATAAATACACTGAAAACATAAAGAGGTCCCTGTCCCCAAGGAGTGGGCTGAGAGCAGAGGATAAATGCATACATAAACAAAAAAAAAATGCGTCTCCAGACCATAGCATCCGGAAGAAAACAGAGTTCAGAAACAAGACAGCGTGCAACGAGGGCTCGATCAATGGGGTGATCATGAAAGACGTTTACAAAGGGGCCGTCACCTAGTAGGACAGGTAAGTGACCCAGCCACACCCAGGCCTGGAGACAGAGCGCCGAGGCAGAGGGGGCAGAGAAGCACCAGAGATGACCCTCCTGTTACTGTCAATCTGGCTGTCTGCCAGCAGGCCTCTGGGGTGAAGAGGTCACAGGGTATAAATGTGGGTGATGCAGGCACATGGCCTAATCTCTTTCCACTTCGCTGTTGTTCTCCACCTGGAGTTATAGAAAGGGTAGGAGCAACCACGTGTCTTCTCTTCCACAGAACCTCAGTGAGAGAGCTGAGTTTGAAAGTGCTGGGCCTGCCTATTTCAGTACTGGTGGACACATGCCCTACATTTGGGGGACTAGCTTAAGTACTGTCCTCTTCTAAGACAGTCTTTCTCTGGAGCCATGGTGTTGACCAGGACACCAAGGGGCAAGCTGTGCCGAGATGCCCACTGTAGAGGAGGCTGACGCCCAGAGAAAAGGTCTCGTTTCAGTCCCCGCACCCTAGCTTTGTCTAGCCTTCTGTTGGTTTTTGGACTCTGTCACCACAGCCAGAATGCACCAGCCTCCAGGGGTGCTTGAAACTCACTCTGCCCAGTCCCTCTGGAACACCCAACCCCCTAGGAGTAGCCGCTACCCTCCAGGAAAGCCAGCAACTCCAGACACGCCAGGACGACACCAGCCCAGTTCCCCCCTCACTCCTCGGCCCCAGCTCAGTCACTTGGGTTTTCCCTACCGACCAGGAATCTACACGAAGCCTCCATGCGAGCAGCTTCTCACACCACTCAGCTCCTGAGTTTGACCACCTGTTTCCTGGCTCAAGGCCCTGGAGATGATATTCTACCAAGCCTCCCTAGGCTGTATCAGAGCCTCCACCCATGGCCACCAGATCCTCCCTGGTCAAAGCTCCCAATGCTGGTCCTGGTCCTATATCTGAAACAAATGAGAAACCAAAGTAGAAAATGATGGATGACGGATGTAAGAATAACATGGAGATATGGATGCATGCGTCATGGGTATAGAGGTGGGTATATGCAGAGATGCATGGATGCATAAATGGACAGATGGATGCACACATGATACATAAATGGATATGTGGCTGTGTGAGGATGTGTGTGGATGGACGGGTGGATGGATGGGCGGAGAAATGTGTGGAAGTGTATGGATGGATGGATGGGCGGGCAGATGTGTGGAGGTGGATGGATGGATGGATGGGTGGGCAGATGTGTGGATAGACAGACAGATGTGTGAATGTATGGATATGTGTACACATGGATACAAGCATGATGGGCAGGCACAGTCTTTGCATCTGACAGACCATGTTTAAAACAACTTTCACTACTCCACATCTGAGTTTTTCTTGGAAATGTGCAGATTCTAAATCTCCCTCACATGACTGAGGCTCCAACACACAGTAGGTACTTAATCAGTGTCCCATCTGCTCAGTGAGATGGCTTTAATAAAACCCAGAGTTCTGCAGGGAACTTCTGAGAACTCGGCTAAGATATTCAAATGGTCACAAACCCTTCTTTCTGCCTAGAGTCCTAGGGCCGTCTAGGGGCCCTTCTCTCCCACCTTTCCTCCTAGCTGGGCACACTCAGTACACATCCCTTGACCATTTTGTCTGGCACTGCTAGGCACTGGTGAGTTTAAAACCTATTGGTCCTCCCCTGGGCCACACCCATCTCTGGGATTCAAGTGACCTGGGCTTGAGGCAGAGCTGGGTATAAGCTCAGTGGGAGAAAACCTGCCTGGTATTCAAGGCCCTGGAAGCAGCAGGAGGAGCAGATGCCCTGGGCCTCCCACACACTTAAGCAAAGCAGAAGAGTGTGTGGCCTGCAAGGAGCCACCACCCAGCTGTGAAGCTTGCCAGCCTGCATGTGCCAAAGACCAGAAAGGAGAGAGAGATGGAGTAGGGTCCCTAAACCTACAGAGCATCTATAGCAGAGGAGAAGACCGGTCATCTAACAGCTGAAGCCAGTCGGAAGATGCCAGTTGGGCTGGCACTGCCTGGAGCTACATTCACTCTACTGCATGGTTCAAGTGCCCACCTCTAGCCACACCATGACCTCTCAAAGTCTGTGGACCCTGGACAGTGCTGAGTCCAGCCTGCGGGCCCTGCGCCATGGCTATCCGCCTTGGCCTGGCTCTCGGAAGTGTTCAGATTGGAAAGGTGAAGTTTGCCTCTGGCCAAAATCAAAGGCGATCACTTCAAAAAGCCACTGACTTGTCTCTCCCTAGTACACCTTCCACAAAAACCGAAGCAAAGTCTAGAACTCAGGCAACCATCCACGACTGCGCAAGAAAACACCAGCCATCCCGGCTGCTGCAGCGACCAGAATCCCAAGCCTCGGTTCCCCTGATTGCTCTGTCCACACCTCGACTGTGAGGTCAACTGAGCACCCCAGCTGCTCTCACCACCCAGCCCAGTGTGCGGATGATCACACCAGGTTCTGGCTCAGAGCAAAGCTAGCCGGAGCCAGCTCTGGGAGACACTGCTTATGCAGGCTTTCGGTAGAATGTGGCAAATTCTACCAAACACTAACATGCCCTGTGTGGTCCCCACAGGCCAAAACCCAGGGGATAACACTAACCAGAAAAGTCCTGAGGAGGCTGAAATGATAACTCAGCCAGTAAAGGCACCTGCAGTCAAGCCTGAGCGCCTGTGCTCCACCCCCCCAATCTCCAACAGACGGTCCTCTGACCTCCACGTGTCTGTGACACAACACACACACACACACACACACACACACACACACACACAAATTTGAAAATGTAATAAATATCTTTTACATTTTGAAGTACAAAGGCACGGCAGTTTGCGGAGGATTCTTTTCCAAGCCGTAATCTGCACGCACGCTCAAAAAACACTTTCAGCCGCATTTTCTTTCCTTATTTTGTCTCGGCATAAAAACACACAGCTGACTAGTGCTGAACGGAAACCCTCATAGAAGATATCAAACTAAAATAATAAAACACAGATAAGTACTCAAAGACCAGGGAAAGAAACAGCTCTGCCGCTGTGAAAGGGTTGGGCGGGGGGGGCGGGGTATCAGACCCAGCTTCACGAGACCCCTTCCTTCTATCACGGGGCCGGGTCTGGCCTTCTTCTGTATCCACTGTAGGTCTCCACTGATGAGAAACTTTGGCGGGCAACTGGCATCTATGACCTGGTGGAATGCGCCGGGGAGCTGAGTGGATACGGAGCTCCAGGCACGGAGTGAAAAGGAGACCCTAAGCCCCAGCGAGGATCAACCACAAGTGACTTCTTACAGCATTTACCACTTAAAAACCTTTTAGCTGGGTCCATGTTGAACACACAGAGCTTAAATATCCCTTTCTGATTCCTCAGCCGCCCCTCCCCCAAGCCAGAGACACTTCCTTTTCCAATTCTGTACTTTTATTTCAGAAGCGTCACGAGCGCTACTTACCAAATCGTGTCCCGGCGGCCACAAATAGCTGCCCACTTATCCCCTGGACTGGGGACACAGATTCGGTGGATTCATCCCCGAATCCTGATCAGTTTCGATTCCCACCGCACAGAAGGGGACCTGAGATGGGCGGATGCCACACAGCCCAAGCAGGGAGAAAAGGACGCCTACAAGACAGCACGGCCTCCCAAAAGCGATGGCAGTTCTGGAGACCGCCACATCATCTAGCGGATCCCCAGCCATGCAGATGGCCGCGAGAGGACCCATTCTATCTCTCCCTCCACACAGTGGTGTCTGTCAGTTTTCAGAACAGAACTCTGGAGGCCTGGGCATCTGCAAAGTTGCAGTGGAGGCTGCTCTGATGTGGTTCCGACACACGCACAGACATGAACTCACTCACACACACACACACACACACACACACACGCAAAGGAAACAGGGGTCAAGTGTGTGAAAGTCAGCATTGTGTCTCATCACCACACACATGCCAGCTCATACTCGGTTTTTGAGGGTGTTGGGGACATCTGGGGCTGGGGTGGGGTTGAGGCATGGGGGTCTTGGTGGCTTTCCGTGCAAATCCGATTTGCAAAGAAAGTAAGTGTGTCTTGGAGGCTCTTGCAGAAATGGATTTGACAGATGCCCCTGAAGGATAACCATGTCAGCACTGTCAGGGTTCCACGCTGGAGTCTCGAGGAGGGGGCGAGGAGGGAGCTGTTTCAGAGACAAGCTCGGGTCTAATTTTTTTGTGTGTGTTCTCATTCAGGAATTTGCAATTAAGGATTAAACTTCTAAAGTGTGATCAATTAACTAACATGCCCAAATGACAAACCTCCAAAAGCCAAACCCCATTCTCCACTTCCTACCCCGACAAATGCAGGTGTGGTGGGGGAGGGCACACTGGCCTTTTCCGCAGATGCCCAGAGTCCAGAAGCACTTTGTTACAAAGGATGGAGCAGGCGCCACGCGGGAAGGGCTTGCATTTCTCAAGGAGTCGGTGCGTGTACTATGCAGCTTTGCGGCTGCAGCTTGGTACAGAAACTGCAAGAGGAAATGGAGGGGAAGGGACGTGATGCGCCTGTCGGAGATGGGAAGGAGACATCATTTTCTCCTCAAAGCAATGGAATGAGCACAATGGTGCCGGAAGCCCCTCCGAGCACATCGATGCACAGCCTCAAGGCCTCTCGAAAGGAGGCTGCGGAAACGGGAACGGGAAGGCTGCAATAGGCAGGTGTCCATCGGGTGGTATGAGTTAGAAGCTACAAGGGTCTGGCGGCAGGAGAACACAATCCACCAGAAAGGAGATTTTTTTAAAAAATGAAGAAGGAAAGGAGGAGGGGGAGAAGCTGCTTCTATATGTAATGAATGACTAGTTTCTGACAACGGACTGGCCGAGTTCACGGAAGAGAAACCCACCACCACCTCCACTCACTACCTGAGTTATAAACTAACACACATGATCTTAGTGTACTAAGTCTCAGGGGATTTTGGATGAAATTTGAACTGCCCCCAAACACAACTAAGACTTCTTTCATTGGGGCGAGAAGATGAAATAAAGGAAACCATTTGTGTCGGCAGCAATACTGGACAGCCGGGTCATCAAGAGTGCCATAGTGGGCTGGACGAACCCAGGAATGCCTCTGCCCCGTGCCACCTCCAACGCCTCTGCCCTGTGCCACCTCCAATGCCTCTGCCCCAGGCCACCTCC